TGGGATTGAGGATTTAGGATTTTGGGTTTTAGGGTTTAGGATTTTGGGATTTAGGATTTGGGATGTTGCGATTTGGGGTTTAGGATTTAGGATTTAGGGTTTAGGGCTGAGTCCTTTGGGTCTACTCTGCTTCTATAGGGTTTCATAAGGGGGCTTGTAGAGGGTTGTGGGGAAGGAGTCTGGGTGGATGCACATTGCCGACTTAATTGAAGGGCTTTGCGTTCAAGTCAAGTGAATGTGGTTCCCGCACATGGAACACTATGCCCCCAACGGTTTTCCCTACTCTTCGAGGGCAAAATGAGGGCCATGTCGTGTCTATCCCAGCCGGGCGGCAGGCAAATCCTCTCTGAATTCCATATTACTCTTAACGCAAGAGCTCCTTGGCGTTACCGCAGTTTTTCAGGGAATGAAGGACCCAGCGTGTAAAAACAGAAACACCCGAAATCGCAGAATCCTCACGAAATAAAGCAAGCGAAATAAACCCTAAACCCTAAAAGCTTGCACCTCCTTCGCGCCAGAGTGTGCTGACGGCACCGGCGGTGGAGAGCGGCGGGTTCGAAGTCGTCACCCCTCGGAGGTTTGGACTTTAGGGTTTAGGGTATAGGGCTTTGGTTTAGGGTTTAGGGTTTAGGGTTTAGAAACCCTAAACCCGTAGACCCGGGTTAAGCTTCAGGGCCCCTTGGGGTGTAGAGCCCTAGAGCCGAAATCCTGGGTCCGAACCCCTAAACCCCAAACCCTAAACCCCGAACCCTAAACCCCAAATCAGAACCCAAAACCCAAGACCCTGAACCCTAAACCCCAAACCCTAAACCCTAAACCCTAAACCCCAAACCCTAAACCCCAAACCCTAAACCCTGAACCCTAAACCCCAAATCAACACCCTAAACCCCAAACCCTAAACCCCGAACCCTAAACCCTAAACCCTAAGCCCTCAACCTAAACCCGAAAGGAAGGATCCTCCGAAGAAAAGGCTTCCTCGAGGCTGGCGGACCTCAGCCTTTGGCTTCAGGTAAACGAGGCCTCTAGCATATTGGACTTAGAGTTGAGGGTTTAGGGTTTGGGGTGTAATTAGGGTTTAGGGTTTAGGGTTTTGGGTTCAGGATTTAGGATTTGGGGTTTAGGGTTTGGGGTTCTTTCAGGATTTAGGGTTTAGGGTTGGTTTGCGGTTTAGGGCTTTGGATAACCCCACTCTGACAGCTACCAACACTGTTGCGTAATCTTTGCGTATCTGATGTCTCACTTCTGCGACCATGAAACTCGGGTTTTGGGCTTCAAGAGCCATACATGTCTCAAAGCCCCAGACGCCGGTGCGACCCTTTTTTTAAGTAAAGGGCTCAGTCCTAAAACCCGAAATCCAAAAGCCCTAAACCCCGCCTTTTTCCACTCCGCACGGCTCTCTCTCCCGCCCTCTCGGAAATCATGACTGCTCTGCAAGTCCAGATGCGGCAGACGTCTGGCTTGATGGGATAGGGTTTAGGGTTTAGGGTTTAGGGGTTTAGGGGTTTAAGGTTTAGGGTTTTGGGGTTTAAGGTTTAGGGTTTAGGGTTTAGGGGTTTAAGGTTTAGGGTTTTGGGTTTAGCATTGATTGTGTAGGGCTAGGGTCTAGGGTTCAGGGTTGAGGATTGAGGCTTGCGGGTTTAGGGTCTTGGGTTTTGGGCTTACGTTTGAGCGTTTAGGGCCCCACTTCTAGACTCAAAGCTTACAAAGCCAGGTGCCCTTGATCGAGACCTTCAGTCACAGGGTTTAGGGTTTGGGGGTTTAGGGTTATTTAGGGGTTTAAGGTTTTGGGGTTTAAGGATTTGG